ATTGTTGTTTGGCGGGTCCGGGCTGGGGATTCGAACCCACCACCTCAGGTGTACGTGGCTGGCGCCTTAGCCGGTTGAGCCACAGGCGCCGAGCCTGTACAGATTTCTTGATGTTGTTCCTACACTGGTGAACAGCAATATGAAAGTAGTTGAATCAATTTATTGAGTGATCCTGAAATTTCTCCTCTCCACTGTATCGCAGGGAGGGCTCTGCAGGATTCATGCAAATGGCCTTAACTTCCTTTTCTTTCTTTCTTTCCTTCCTTCCTTCCTTCCTTTCTTTCTTTCTTTCTTTCTTTCTTTCTTTCTTTCTTTCTTTCTTTCTTTCTTTCTTATTTATTTTTTGAGACAGAGTCTCCCTTGGTCACCCACAGTAGAGAATTGTGGCATCATAGCTCACAGCAACCTCAAACTCTTGGACTGAAGCAATCCTCTTGTCTCAGCCTCCCAAGAGGCTGGGTCTACAGGCACCTGCCACAACACCTGGCTATTTTTTTTTAACTTTAATTTTTAGTTTTTATTTTATTTTCTTTTTATTGTTGGGGATTCACTGAGGATATAAGAAACTGAATTACACTCATTGCATTTATTAGGTTAAGTCCCTCTTACAATTGTGTCTTGTCCCCAAGAGGTGTGTCACACACTGAGACTCCAACCCCTCCCTCTCTCTGCTCTCTCCTTCTCCCTGCCCCCCACCCTGTACTAGGTCATTAATTGTCCTCATATCAAAATTGAATACATAGGATTCAACCTTTTCCATTCTTGTGATGCTTTACTAAGCTGTGGTAAATGTATACCCTGGAATACTCTTCAGCCATTAAAAAAATGGAGACTTTACATCCTTTGTGTTAACCTGGATGAAAGTGGAACACCTAGCTATTTTCCTAGCTGTTTTTAGAGATGAGGTCTCGCTCTTGCTCAGGCTGGTCTCCAACTTGTGAGCTCAGGCAATCCACCTGCCTCGGCCTCCCAAGTGCTGGGATTACAGGTGTGAGCCACCATGTCTGGCCAATTTCCCTTTCTATAAAATGGAAAGAATAATGGGAGGTTCATTTTTATGTAATAGGTTGTTTTGTACACAGATAAGAAATATTAATTTAAGAGTGAAATCTGTGAGTAGTTCTTAATATTCCTAAATATCTCATTATTCTTGACATCCATAATATTAAATGAAAGACAATGCTTTTTCTTTTCACCTCTTCTTAAAGAAAAAAGCTATTTTTATTTTATTATTTTTGGGGGGGAGGGGAGACAAAGTCTCACTCTCTCTCCCTGGCTAGAGTGCTATGTCATAATAGCTCACAGCAACCTCAAACTCTTAGTCTCAGGCGATCCTCTTGCCTCAGCTTCCTGAGTAGCTGGGACTACAGACACCCACTACAATGCCTGGCTATTTTTTTAGAAATGGGGTTTCACTCTTGCTTAGCCTGGTCTGGAAATCATTAGCTCAGGTGATCCACCTGCCTCAGCCACCTAGAGTTCTAGGATTACAGGTGTGAGCCATTGTGCCTGACCAGAAAAATGCTATTTCTGGAAAAAGTTGATAGACCATGACAATGAGCAAAAGACACTCAAAAAAAGTGATTTGTGACAATCAGTAGTAAACAGAAAATGGGTAATGAATAGGAGTCATGACCAGTAGTCTGAGTTGTCAGAGGGTGGCTGGAGGCTATAAACACTCATGTAGAGGCGAGTGGGTAACTCCACGTGCCCCTGGAAAAAGGAAATGGCACTGTGGTTAGGACATCAACGGGGAAGTTATTTCTAACAGTTGTATCATGTCTCATTTTATAGCTCATTACAAAAAAGCTCAAGCCGAAACCCTGTGAAGACAGGAGTACAAGTCTGCATAGTGAATAAGCACTCGAATGTGGGGGACAGACACAGGAGCCTGCAATGACTGGATCCTGTCTTCTTGCTGAGGAGAGTTTTCCAGGAGTCCAGGAATGAGAAGTGGCCAAGCTTTACCGTGACACAGGTGCAGCTGCTCATCCACAGGGAAAGAACAATGTCTGGGGGAGTGGCTGGTACGGAGTGCCCCATGCTGACTGCCAGTCTTCCAGGCTTTGTCTGTTCTTTGTGTACTGACTCAGCTTGAGCCAAAAGATTCAGCAGCTAAAGCTGGAGCCTACCTTTCTGCAGAGAGCACAGTGTTTGATGTTGCTGGACGTTTATGCAGCATGTAACCCCTACCCCGAGCACCTGCTGCCTTACAAGCACTTGTACATGAAAACACAAGACTCCGAGATGGCACCTTCCACATACTATACTCCCATTTACAAGGCGAGCAGACAATGTTTTCTGACAGCTGGCTTTCCATCTGGTGTTTGATGTGTGGCAGAAAAGCACCGTGGGGTAATAAGAGAGATGGATGTTTCTCTGAGGTGACAACTCAGTGTTCCTGAGGGCAGACTCCCTTGGGTGTCCTGCCCTTCTGCCCTGCACGCTGTGCTTTGCATAGGACCATAAGCTTCCTCTTCTTATTGTAGCTCAGCTAAACTATCTAGTCACCTGCCTGGCTTTTGATTTATTCACAGTTTCTTGATCACAACAAACATTTCAACCACTTTGTTACGGTGCTGTCAGCATGAATGCATTGCTAAAGGTTTTAACAACACCTATTCTTCTTCAATATTTTTCTTGCTGTAATTCTTTATTTTTGTTTGTGAATGTTCTCTAGGCTGCCTGTGCAGAAAATTAGGAGGAATATTTAAGCTAGACACAAAGCTATAACCTTGCAAACAATGTCAGGCTGCAGATATTTTTAAAGACACTTTGATCATCTTCAGTTTGCTATGTTTAAAGTTTAAAATAGTTTAAGTATCTGCACATATATTTTTATATTAGGGATATTCATTTTAAGAAGTCTTCAGTGCTCACTTCTGCAGCACTTATACTAAAATTGGATTGGGACAGAAGAGAAGATTAGCGTGACCCCTATGCAAGGATGACATGCAAATGAAATGTTTCATGTTTTTTTTCAAAAAGGATTGTTTGAGGAGATACCTTTTGAGACAACTATATTTTTTAAAATGGTACTCAATGTCTATACAAATGTTTTGTATTTTAAACAGAATATATGCTTTACAACTAATAAAATACAAAGAGCCATGGACTGTGCAAACACCAGAATTTTCTGAATGTTTGTATTATAGATAAATAATTGTTTTAAACAGTATTGTAAACAGTTAATATACAAAAACCAATAATGCATACATTTTTAAACATAAAAATATTTTAGATATTATTTTTAGTCCTAATGTGAAATTAAAGTATCACTTAGAATTGAGTACAGAGAAGCTCCCACAGGCTGTGATCGGAAAGGAAATCCACAAGGACAATGGTCAGTATCCCCAGGGGGTCCTGGGCTTCTTGCTTATTCACAGCACCTCTCTGAGACCAATGAGCTTTTACTGCAAAGACAGCACCAGCCCTCTTTCTCCTCATCCAGTGTTGTTTTCTCCATTTTTATTCCTCTTCACATTCTTTGCCCATTTGCAGCAAGAGTGAGGTCACTGTGATAGCTTTGAGCTGTGACCCAGCATCTGTCTCAAGAACTCTTAGATCTACAGATGGGAGGAAGCTGCCCAGGGGTGGCCAGGCTCAGCCAGGCTTGCCCCGAACAACCTCATGCTGCTGTGCTCTCCTCGTAGGCAGAAGAAAACACAGGCTCAAATTTTCTTTTTTACTGGTTGTGAAGTCAAATTGGCTGGATATTACTTACAATTAAAATGGAAATCATTGCTGTGGTTGCTATCAACACAGAAAAAAATGACTGATAACATCAAAGGTTGCAAATAAGTTAACTGAGGAATAATTCTTGGGTGTTATAGACATTGCCATTTGTCTTATTTAAAATAAAGAAAATCTCTTGCTTTAAAAAACACAGTGTTGGCCAAGCATGGTGGCTCACACCTATAATCCCAGCACTCTGTTTTTATTTTTGACACAGAGTTTCACTCTGTCACCCTGGGTAGAGGACCGTGTCATCATACCTCACAGCAACCTCAAACTACTGGGCTCAAATGATCTTCCTGCCTCAGCCTCTGAATAGCTGGACAACAGGTACCACTATTATGCCTGGCTAGTTTTTTCTATTTTTAGTACAGATGGTGTCTCAATTTTTGCTCAGCTTGGTCTCAAACTTCTGAGCTTAGGTAATCCTCCCACCTCAGTCTTCCAGAGTGCTAAGATTACAGGTGAGAGCCACCACACCCGGCCAATCCCAGCACTCTGGGAGGCCAAGGCAGGGGAATCACTTGACCTCAGGAGTTCAAGACCAATCTGAGCAAGAGTGAGATCCAGTCTCTACTAAAAATATGAAAATTACCTGGGCACTATGGTGGGCACCTGTAGTCCCAGTTACTTGGGAGGTTGGGGCAGGAGGATTGCTTGAGCCTAGGAGTTTGAGGTTGCTGTGAGCTAGGCTGATGCCAAGGCACTCTAGCCTGGAGCAACAGAGTGAGATTGTCTCAAAATAAAAAAGAAAAATAAATAAAAAACAATTTTATGAGGCTTACTGAGACATCCAATATTTGCAATTAAACATATATATCAAGGAAAGGTGTAAAGCAAAAAGGATGCTGAAATGTGAAAAAATGAAATCTGTTGAAGAAGAAATGTTATAATTAGGAACTTCAGTGCACACTAAGTGACTGTGGTATGTAGGGTTTGGTTTTTTTTTATACAAACAAAAAAAAAAAAGGAAAAAGAAAAAACAAAGAAACAAAGAAAGAGGAAAACTTTAGTGAAAAGAAAAAACCTTCAAAGACCTAAGCTTGCTTTTATGTTTCTTGACATAAAATATAAGGTTTTAATGTGGCTTTCAATTTTTATTTTTTCTAAAATGGCCATCCTACACAAAATTTTGTACAGAATTGAATTATAGAAAGGAGCAAAATTTTACACAGAATTGAATTACAGAAAGCAGCAGGCCCAGAGAAGGAGGGCATGACCAGCAAGACAGGATACAAGCACTGCCTCTTGGAAAGGCTGAGAAGGCTGAGTAGGACTGCTTTGCCCCCTTTTCTGGAAGTAGCCTCAGGCTACAAAGCATTAATTAGGTTTACCATTTGCACTGAATTTTATGCTCTATGTAGAATGGGGGTCACACTCACAGGTCACGGATTCCCTTCACAGTCTGCCTGGGAATGACTGTTTGCCATCTCTCTGTGTAGCCACCAGTTCAGGTAGTAAGTCTCTTCCCTGCATGGCCACACCAAATCATCTTCAATTTTTGATTTTCAGCAGTTGATTATATCTTGACATAGTTTTCTTTTGAATTTGTCCTATTTGCCATTTACTGAGTTTTTGAGTCTGTAAATCTTTTTCCAGACTTGGGCACTTTTCAGATATTACATTGTCCAATATTTTTTCTGCATCTGTGCTTTTCTCCTCTCCTGCAGAGACTCCAGTAACATGTTAGGGCACTTGATATTCCCTTCCAGTCCTTGAAGTTCTCTTTGTTCTGTTTTTTTCTCTTTCTTTCAATTAGATAATTTATGTTGGTCTGTATTCAAGTTTATTGACTCTTTCCTTTGTGATCTCCATTCTGCTACTGAGTTCATTCAACAAATTTTTCATTTCAGTTATTATATTTTAAGTTCTAAAGTTTCCATTTGGTTGTATTTCCCTGCTGAAAGCATCTGTCTCTCCATCGATTTATTCTTTACCTTTACCCCATAGAGCTTGTTTACAAAAGCTGCTTTATTTTTTTATTTTTATTTATTTATTTTCTTTTTCTTTTTTTTTTTTTTATTTTTGGGGATTCATTGAAGGTACAAGAAACCAGGTTACACTGATGGCATTTGTCATTTGTTAAGTAAAATCCCTCTCACAATCGTGTGAGATTGTGAGATTGACACCCCCAAAAGGTGTGTCACACACAAAGACCCCACCTTGCTTTC